GCTAGCATTCCCAAAAAACGCTACGGTGTTCCCAACCGCCACATACGTTGTTGTCACGAGTGCCAATGAGAGTGCATTCAGATCAGGGGTCGGAACATCATGCGAATCATTCAATTTTTCCTCGCGACTATTTGGCTCGCGATTGTTCATTGAATTTTTATTTCTCACAGATGGATTCTGCGATTGTTTTGCTCGCGATGACAGACTCCGCGAGTGCCTCGCCCAAGAAGATTAACTCCACGATTGTCTCGCAGGAGAAGATGCACACCGCGATTTTGAACGATATTCACAAAGAAAAAAATTTGCCTCCCACCCCGCACAAAATCTTTATGAGTACGTACATCTTATTTCCTCCTATGATTCTTAAACGCAACTCTCAATTCACGCATGCGTTTAACATGAAAGTTTGGTCGTCATCCCTGGTTTTTCCTTCGTTTTGAAATTATACGCGACGTAGAACATGGTTCATTCACATTCATTCTATTTACTTGTTCCGTTCTTCCACCTACCTCTACATCACTTTCAACAACTATTGCACTTCCATCATAACCTGATGACACACGGTGAGCCATCCACGACGACGATCAAAGTTCCAAACGACGCACGACTTCATTGGCACGCAGTCGTCGAATCAACAACATACGGTACCGTCTGTTGCACCTTGAGCGAATCGATTTCCACAATAATAATCTTCGCCATCGATTATGAGATCCAATAAACTTTCTAATCAATGTATTCGGCGAATTCGGTTGGGTCGAGGCAGCAAAAGATGGATGTACATGAACATTTGTCAAAATGGGAGAAAGGTTTCTCTCCACACATTTTTGTCGGACATCGGAAGTCAATGTCGACGATGAACAATTGTGCATATGTGCGGAGTGCAAGGGAAAATTATCAAGTAAAGTCGATCTTTCGACCATCAAAATGGAATCTGCATTTATTGCAACATCCGTACGAATTTCAAGTGGACATTCACTTTGCAAGGTCATAGAAAGATTTTCATCACAACTAATGCGATCCGTACAAACATTAATATTTCCTTGACTCGTTCTTTTGAAAAACACGGGGCTTGTGAAATCATTCATCGATGGAATCGTTTGTCGAAAAGATAGAGACCTTTCAGTACATTGTTCTTCGGGAGAACAATCAGGACCATCTTCTCGAGTTACCGTCGGTCGTTTCTCTCTCCGGGAGCAATCCCCTCACCTGCAGCACCTACCGCCTGTTGTAAAGACCTTCGAGTTCGACGACTTTGGGAAAGTGAGGGTCCTCGTTTGCGGTATTCGTGTTGTGATGACATCAGTGTCTCACTCACAAAGCGATCGGGAGTAATATCCGAACGTATACGCAATCCCAATCCATGGTTGGATGAGGAACAAGGGCGGTCTAACGAAGACAAATCGACTTGACATGGAACAACAGAAGGACACCGTGTACAATCTGATACTATCGGCGAAGACAACAAAAAGTCCTTAACAGCCCTTTCACAACAGCGAAGGCGTTTACGACGCTTCCACGGAACATGCAAGGACCTACCCGCAGGCAGGGCCCCCGGACCCCCGCCGCCGGGGTGCCCCACCCCCGCCCACCACAAAACACCCCCGCCAGCGCCCCG